GAGGGGATTTATGAGGAAGATTTCTTTATTTTTTTTTTTAATTTTTTTTTTAACGTTTATTTATTTTTGAGACAGAGAGACACAGCATGAATGGGGGAGGGGCAGAGAGAGAGGGAGACACAGAATCGGAAGCAGGCTCCAGGCTCTGAGCCATCAGCCCAGAGCCCGATGCGGGGCTCGAACTCGCGGACCGCGAGATCGTGACCTGAGCTGAAGTCGGACGCTTAACCCACTGAGCCACCCAGGCGCCCCGAGGAAGATTTCTTTAAAAGGGACTGTGCTGTGCTATCCCCCTGCCAACACACCCAGACACCAAAATACAGCCAGAGGTTGGTTTCTTTTTCTGTAGTCACTGGAGAGCTTTATAAGTATTCTTCCATTTAGGGTGTCTGACCCCCTAGGAATGGAGAGGAGGGGAGCTGGGCTAACCAGATGCTTTGGAGGTGGACACAGATGAGGCTGTATGGGTGGCCAGCACACCCAGAATATGTCAAGGCAAAGGCTGTGTGAGAGTTTCCCTTGGACTAGATGTGGGACACATGGGACAGAGAGAAAGAGCAAACTTGGAACATAAAGAATTTCTTGTCCAGGAGGACTGTCTGAATTGTATGTGGGCATACTTTTGAGCTCCTCAGTTAAAAAATATGCATCCGTTTGAGATCTTATTTGATCTAAGATTTTCAGGATTTACCCAATTCTCATAGAATTAGGATTGATTTGTGAATAGTATTTTCTGTGTGGATTTCAATTTTTTTTAAACCAAACAGATTGCTCTCCTTCTATACAACTTAAGTTTTGAGTTACATGTAGTCAAGTGCAGCTTTTTAACTGGAGTGGCAGATCATCTATAATGTGTATGAGCCTATAATCCATATTCTAGCCTCCTACCATCCTAACACATTTTGCTTCAAAAAGAGTTGCTTTTTGAGACTTCGAAATTATCGGCAAAACTTACTACCCCTACCTAATATCACTAAGGAAAAAACAGCTGGGATGAGAAGAATCAACCTGGGGGTGAGAATAAAAAGGAAAGGGGTACAGAAACCAGTATGCTCAAAAACACAGAAAGGAAGAAGGAGGTAAGAGCTTCAAGGAAGGTAGTTCTAAGTGGGAATGACCCCAGGAAATGTCATCCATTTCTAGGAAGGGTTAAGATGACCCAGCCTGATTTAAAGACCATTTATGTAAACAGTGTATCTATTTGTGGACCTCAGATTCAAATACCATCCATCATTTAAATTCCTAATCTCCCTTCATATGGCCCTTTTATTTATTTATTATTTTTTTTTTTTAATTTTTTTTTTTCAACGTTTATTTATTTTTGGGACAGAGAGAGACAGAGCATGAACGGGGGAGGGGCAGAGAGAGAGGGAGACACAGAATCGGAAACAGGCTCCAGGCTCTGAGCCATCAGCCCAGAGCCCGACGCGGGGCTCGAACTCACGGACCGCGAGATCGTGACCTGGCTGAAGTCGGATGCTTAACCGACTGCGCCACCCAGGCGCCCCCATATGGCCCTTTTAAAGACAAATATGCTTGCACATAAATATACCAAAACCCAGAAATGTATACATTAAGTATTTCCAGAAAAATAACATATATTGAGAAATGTAGATACAGAAAGTCATAGACTCATATTGAAACACAGACACATGTTTGCATGCACATATTCAAAGACATTGACAAGCACAATGCAGGGTATATAGTATTAACAAAGACATGGAGAAACACATGTAAATGCACATACAGCCACCTATATGTTTCCTTTTTCATTTAAGCACATACAAACACAAACGGGTCCAGAAACTGACACATTTATAAAGATACATGTAAACACACAAGTGCGTATACTGCTAGAGGTGGGCCACATTAAACCTGCCACCTCTGAACTGTTATAAGACTCACCTTTATCATTGGCTTCCTGAAGAAGACTGTGAGCTCCATGAGAGCAAGCATACTGTATATCCCTTGGCCTGTTCCACAACACCAGCATAGATCTCTGCACCTAAGACAGCAAATATATTTTGGTTGGTTGTTTGCTTGGTTGATACTGTATTAAACTGGTCATTGGGTCTCATCCATAGGGAAGGTCTAGGGATTTAAGGTTATGGACTTGGTGTTTTACAAGCGTAGGTACACTAAACATTACATACTCAGAGTCCTGCTGCAGTGCCACTCAAGAAAAACAGGGACTGAGTTGTTACTGAGTCCCAAAGCATTATCTCAGGTGCAAAGAAATATTCAGACACAAAATAGAAAGGTATCCTTCCCCCAAGAAGCTCAAAATCTGTTGAGACAGTATGCATATAAAACTAAGTATGGCACACTTGATTCTTATGATACTTCCTGTGCATCTACCGGTAAAACAGACAAAACTGAACTGTACTGTTTACAGTTGCATACTTAAGGAGCAAAACTGTAGAGAAGTGGGAGTGTTTTCCATAAAAGCATGAGTGGAAAGGGGCTGTGGTCAGGAAGAACCAATAGCAGCCTCCTAGAATTCTCACAGTGGCTGTGTGGGTACTGGATTTACCTTAATTCATTACACCGTACATCTATCACTGTGCATTTTTCTAAATGTGTGTTCTATTTCACAATTTCAGAAAGCTTAAAGCAGCAGCAGTCCAGGGTATGATAGTTCAAAAATTCATCAGAGTTCCAGGATCCTTGTAGCTTTCTGCTTTTCTGTCCTTAAGGCATGGCCTTCATGGCAGTTTAAGATGATTCCTGGTTCTCCGGCATTACATCCCCATGAAATGAGAAAAGAAAAAACAAATTCCCTTTAAGAATCCTTCCTAGAAAGTGCACAAATTATTTCTGCATGTACTCCCTCAACCAGAACTACAGGAACTAGGAAATATAGTCTTTATTCTAGACACTTCTTGGCTCACAGGCTTTGTTATGTAAGAGGAAGGAGAGAAAGGACGTTGGGAAATACCTCTTAGTCTCTGCCACAGCCAGGCAGTTTGATCAAGTCACACTGCCACTGCTGGTGAGAATAAAGCCAGGATCCAAAACGGGGTTATTGACTGAAGCCAATGATCTTTCTGCAGTGTTGTACTGCCCACCCTCAGTAAGACCCATAATTCTGAAATGGGCTAGATGGATAGGGGCTGCCAAGAATGGGCAGGTAGGTGGACTAGAAACAGACTGACCAGAAAGTTAAAAAAACAAAACAAAACAAAAGGAATGATCAACCAGGGGACTGTTGACTTAACGAACAAAATAGATGTGCTAAAATTAAAAAAAAAAAAGGTCAACCAATGTTCGTGCATTTTTTGGATCTTATTTACTTATTCCTGTTCTCGGTAACGGGGGTATTTTTGGTTTTGCAGGTGGTTAAAGTTCACCAAAGTACTGTAACTTCCTATCTGGAAGACATAATACTGAATACCGAAGAGAATACTGCAGAAGAACAAGCCAGGGCAGAAATTGAGAAGATGGCTGAGGAAATCAATGACATTGCTTATGAAATGGAGAGCCGGTTTGTACCGAGAGAACAGATGGCAGAATGGATAGTCTATTTGCTGTTACTCATACATATTCTTCAAGAGCTTATGATTTTACCACCAAGGAGAAACAAGTATATAACTCCTGTTTCAGTGTCCATTGTTTTAACTGCATAACTCTTCAGAAGTCAACATGCCTGGACCTTTGTATGGCAGGAGTGCTAGAAATAGAATTTTCAGTTATCCTCTGTAGTCTGGATCACTTCCATATTAGTTACTTTCAGAATATCACAGAGCATGAAAGCAATGTGAATAAGTATGTGCAATATTACTTCACCCCAAAGTTTTTGGCTTCTTGTATAAGTTATATCTCTAACATTCCCTTTCCGGCAAGCAGGCTAAATGGAGGACAACGTCAAATCTGAATTTGCATGGAGTCAACAAGCCCATCAGGAGTGTAAGATTTCAGAGTACTTAATCAAGGAAAAGGCAGTGATGGGATTTGAACAGTGGAGTTTCTTATACAAGCAAGAAAAAACTGAGTATAAATCAGTAGCTCAAGTAAGGCAACAAAGGAAATAATTTGTTGTTTTTCTTTTTTTTTTTTTAATTTTTTAGTCGAACTCAGCTTCAGTCAGAGGAGATTGTTGCTGAGTTGGTTTATAGTTTCCTGATCCCAGAGGTCCAAAAGGACTTTGTCAAAGAAAAAGGTAAGCCAGGGGTGATTGGGTGGCTCAGTCGGTTAAGCATCCAACTCTGGATACTGGCTCAGATCATGATCTCACACTTTGTGAGATAAGCCCCCATCTTGCTCTGCGGTGACAGCATGGAGCCTGCTTGGGATTCTTTCTCCCCCTCTATCCTTGCCCCTCCCCTGCTTGTTCTCTCTCATTAAAAAAATTTTTTAAGAAAAAGGTAAGCCACTGTAAGTGCTTCACTTTATGATTTTTTAAAGATATAAACTATTTTCAATATCCCGAGATTTAAAATAAGTATCACTGAATTTTCTTATTTTAGAGCTTGTCAAGTTTTCTTCATGCTGTCTGATTCCAGAAGACAACCATCTCTAGTATAGATGGGGTGCAGTTCTTGTTAGTGTGACAGACCATCAAAAGCCAAACCTTCCTTTAAGAGGAACTTCCCAAGTTCCCAAAAGAGGTGTATTTTATGATTTTATTTTTTTAAACATAAAGCAAATGTGGGGGTACCTTGGTGGCTCAGTCAGTTAAGCAGCCAAGTCTTTATTTCAGCTCAAGTCATGATCTCATGGTTGTGAGATCGAGCCCCACATTGGGTGTGGAGCCTGCTTAAGATTTTCTCTCTCCCTCTACCCCTCCCCAACTTGCATGCACTTTCTCTCAATAAATAAATAAATAAATAAATAAATAAATAAATAAAATTTAAACATAAAATGGGCGCCTGGGTGGCTCAGTCTGACTTTGGCTCAGGTCATGATATCATGGTCCGCAAGTTTGAGCCCTGCGTCTCCCTTTCTCTCTTGCCCCTCCCCTGCTCATACTCTGTCTCTCTCTCTCTCAAAAATAAAACATTAAAAAATTTAAAAAAATAAATAAATTTAAACATAAAGCAAATGCTGACAATATGGGATTTTCAAACTGTAGTAGCCATTTGCAGGTGGGACACATGCAAGGTTGGTATTGGAAAATTGGGATGCTTGAAGGTCCTAAATCTACTCTGCTGCTCTGCCTGTACTACAGATGTCTTCTCTTTTTTTCCAGGACTGTGTCCAAGTATAAATATCTTATTATTTGTCAAAAGAGGCATGTTTTGAAGATTGATGCTTGTAGTCAATAGAGAAGGGGAAAAAATTTTGTCTTACAAAGAGAATACTCTTCTGGAGCTTTTAGACTATTGGTGCCAGTTTATCAGAGAGGGGTGCAACCAGACATGTATTTATCTGAAATGACTTACAGGGAAGATGACTAGGTAGGAAGATCCTAAGCTCACCCTGTCCCACAGATACACCTAGATAACACACCCATCAGTGTAAATAACCCAGAAAATGACCTGAAAACTGACAGAACAGACTCTCCACAGCTAAATGTGGAGAAGAGACCACATCAAAAATGGTAGAAAGGGTGGAGACATGGTCAGGAACCAAACTGACCCATGAGACTGTCCATAGGCGAGACACTGCAAATGTGCAGAAAGGAGAGGAGCAGACCCCATACCAGGTGCCCTAGGGAAGGGGGACCCACAGTGGGAAAATGAATCCCTGTAACATTTGACTTTGAAAACCAGAAGGGCTTAACTTCACACATTTTATAATCAATAGGGCTCAACACCTTTAAAAATCAGTGGCTTAGTTCTAGGAGAGCCAGAGAGCAATAGGAAATAGTCCCCACCCTTAGAGAGACAGCATAACATACAGCCCCACTGAGATACAGCATAGAAGCAGTAGTCTGAATGTATGGGAAGATTTATTTACTAATCTCAGAACATGTGCTGGGGGCAAGGATCTTTAGGATCCGAAAACAAAAGAGCTGACGGGTGCCATTTCCCTCCCTCAATCATTCCCTTCCTCAATAAATGGACACCTATAAGGACCAGGACAGCATACACACTCTTCACTTAGCTTGCTAACAACATACCCCACCCCTGTGTTTTCCTGTGGATTCACCTTCTCCAAACTGTTTCACTCAGCAGGAGTCCATCGAGAGTAATGCCACAAACCTGGCATTGTACAAGCAGCCCCAATGGGCTAGCACTGCTCACCTGACTCCTACTCCAGAAAGAGGGGAAGATGACCACACACACACCAATTCAATTGTGGACCCAGCAATGGGCAGATGTGGTCTGACTGCAGGCCTCACCCACCCAACAAAACCCCCCCAGGGGTCAACCCAGAGAGAGCACCCTGCAGCTCCAGCAAACATCTGAGCTGACCCAAATCAAGCCCAAAGCAACATCAGACTGGCCAAATTACAACAGAGGGACCAAACCCTGCCCACAACAGGCAAAAAGAGCCATTGCAGATGACTGGACTAGAGGCAAACATGACTCAGACACAAAAGTAGGGCACATGCAACACACATAGGAGATACCCCTGAAGCACCAGGTTCTGGTGAACATGGGACAATTGCACTGCAGGGCACTATAGGGCTTCTTCTTTGTAAGGCCACTACTTTCAAGAGCAGGAGATACAGCTGACTTTCCTAACACAGAGAAACACAGAGTTAGACAAAATGAGGAGATAAAAGAATATATCCCAAATGAAAGAACAGGACAAAATCACAGCAAGTGAGCTAAAGGAAAGGGTGAAAAGCAATATGACTGATAGACAATTAAATGGAATAGAATAGAAACCCCAGAACTAGACCCACAAAAGTATGGCCAACTAATCTTTGACAAGAATATTCAAGGAAGACAGTCTTTTAATGAAGTGGTGCTGGGGAGAACTGGACAGCAACATGCAGAAGAATGAAACTGAATTCACTTTCTTACAATCATTCACAAAAAATAAACTAAAATGGATAAAGCACCTGAATGTGAGAGCCAGGAAACCATCAAAACACTAGAGGAGAAAGCAGGAAAAGACCTCTCTGACCTCAGCTGTAGCAATTTCTTACTCGACACATCCCCAAAGGCAAGGGAATTAAAAGCAAAAATGAACTATTGGGACTATGAAAGATAAAAAGCTTTATGTCATAAAGGAAACAACCAACAAAACTAAAAGGCAACCAACGGAATGGGAAAAGATATTTTGCAAAATGACATTTCAGACAAAGGGCTAGTATCCAAAATTCATAAAGAGTCACCAAACTCCACACCCAAACAACCCAGTGAAGAAATGGGTGGTGAAAAACAGATACTTCTAAAAGAAGATACACATCTGGATGGGCCAAGCACATGAAGAGATAGCTGCTCAATGCCGCCTTATCAGGGAAATACAACTAAAAACGTATACACTCATTATCACTCATGCCACACACAGAGGCCAAATGGGATAAATCAGGAGACTATAGATGCTGGAGAGGATGTGGGAGAATGGGAACCTCTTGGGTCTGTTGGTGGGAATGCAAACTGGTGCAGCCACTCTGGAAAACAGTGGAGGTTCTCAGAAAATAAAATAGATCACCCCATGACCCAGCAGCAATAGTATCTGCTAGGACGGCTCCAAGGGATACAGGAGTACTATTTTATTAGGCCCTTTTGGACCCAATACTTATAGCAGCACTCTCAACAATAAAATAAATTGTGGAAAGAGCCTAAATGTCCTCAACTGATGAATGATAAAGAAATTGTGGTTTATATACGTACTGCAATAAGGAGAAAGAATGAAATATGGCCCTTGTAGTAAATGTGGATGGAATCATGAAAGTGTATGTTAAGTGGAAGTCAGTTTCATACAGAGAAAGACATGGCTCATATGGTTTCTACTCCCCTTATGTGGATCCTGAGAAACTTAACAGAAACCCATGGGGGGAGGGAAGGAAAAAAAGAGGCTGGGAGTGGGAGAGACAAAGCATACAAGAGACTCAAAAAAACCGAGAACAAACTGAGGGGCTGATGGGGGTAGGGAGGGAGGGGAAGGAGATGGGCATTTGAAGAGGGCATCTTTTGGGATGAGCACTGGGTGTTGTATGGAAACCAATTTGACAATAAATTTCATATATTAAAAAAAAAAAAGTAATGGTCATAATGTGCTCTTTTCCCATGGGAGCCCAGTGTACAATGGCTGCAAAGAGTACCTCCTTGGCAGTGTGTGATTACATAGCCTGTTGATTGTATGGGTGGCCCTAAGGGACCTTCAAGACATCTCAGATGGCTTTAGCATCAAATACATCCCAAATTTTGGACCCTGGGAAAATGGTAGACTCAGCACTCTTGAGAACCTCAGCACTGCCCTCTCCTTATTCATGCCCACCAATAAATCCTACTACTTGTCAAAAATAAATTAATGGTCATAAAGGTACACAGTGGAGTGGAGGACCTCAACAAGGAGAGAAAATATAAAAAAGAACCAGAGATGAAGAACTCAATAACTGAAATAAAAAGTACACTAGAGGGGAAAAATAGTGGACTAGAGGAAGCAGAAGAACAGATTAGTGGTCTGGAGGTCAGAGTAATGAAAAGCAAGCAAACTGAACAGGAAAGAGAAAAAAGAGTGATAAAAAATGAATATAGGTTAAGGGAACTCAGCCACACCACCAAACATAATATTCACATTATAGAGATACAAGAAGGAGAAGTCAGAGAAAAGGGGGTGGGAGAAGAAAATGTTATTTGAAGAAATAATAGCTCAAAACTTCCTGAATCTGGGGAAGGAAACAAAAATTCAGGAGGCATATAGAGCTCCCCCCAAAAATCAACCCAAAGAAGGTCAACACATAAAAATTAAAATGCAAAAAGTAGTGATAAAGCAGCAAAAGAAAACAGTTACATATAAGGGAAATCAAATAGGGATATGAGTTAATTTTTCAGCAGAAGAAGGGCCAGAAGGGAGGCATGATATAAGAAAAATGCTGAATGAAAGAAAACTGCAACCAAGAATACTGTATCCATCAAGGATTTTATTCACAATAGGAGAGAGAGTTTCCTGGACAAATAAACGTTAAAGAGGACTCCTTGAGTGGAAAGCAAACACCATAAGCAAGAGTAAGAAAAGTAGGAAGCACAAAAGCAGTAAAATTAAGTACATCTATAAAAATCAGTCAAAGGACTCACAGACATAAAACATGACACCATA